AAGGGTGTATTAGTTTTGAGTTTTTTGTGATTAAAAAATTAGTTTGAGTTAAATTTATCATATGTGTATCAATTTAGGGTTTTTCATGGTATTAACCCTTGGGTTTTTGCTATCCTCCCCCTTATAGGTACCTTTGTTGGCAATGTTTTGTAGCACCCATTAATCAAGACTTGAAAAGACGGTCCGCATCCCTGTTAATAAGGTAATCGTATTTTAATATTTCGTCGTGCGTGACCTATCAAGTAGAAAGAGATGATTTCGATAGATCGACGAAAATAAGCAAGCTCGGGCAGGGGACGCAGTTTCTCCCCGAGCCTCCTTTATGTCCGCTAAGTCCGTCTTGGTCCGATTGGCTCTGCAGGCGAGCTTAACGATTAGTTTTTAACCATGACCCTCGAGCAAAAGTTTTCTGAGGTTACAAGCCCGTTCGATCCCGCCCCTTAATTAGGTCTAACTAGGAGTAGGAGTACAAAAGGGGGGGGGGGGGGGTTGTGGTGTCATGTGAATTTGTAATTTATTAAGTTTGGACTTGCACGCCCTAGTTTAAAAATGAAGAAATCCCCAACATTTAGGCCCCAAAAAATAATATTTATTCCAAATTATGGTTGTTTTAGCTTACATATAAAGTCGCAGATCAAATCATGAAGCCACTCAATCGGCAATAATTACATGGAGACGTTTAATTTTGTCAAAAACATCACGTACCATAATGCTTTGGAGCGACACTCGTAATCCACACGAATCAAACCCGCCGCACCAAATGCTTCTCACATAGTCAACTCCTTAATCTTTGCTCCGGCTCATAATTGACCTCTTGTATTTTCGAAAGGACACGTCGAAAAAGGAAAAATTACTAAAAAAGTCCTAAACCTTTTGCAATTGTGCCAATTCAGTCATAAACCATTTTTTTAGCCATTTCAGTCCTAAACCTTTTACAATTATGCCAATTCAGTCTATCTGGCCACTTATGGCCGGCCGGCGCTGACGTGGACGTCGGCCGGCGCCGACTGACGTGGCATTATTTTAATATTTTTTTCCTTTTTTTTTTCCTCTCTCCCCTTGGCCGGACCGGCCAGGGGGAGGCTCGCCGGCAAGGTGACCTCGCCCAGATTTGGCGAGACCTCGCCATCGCTGGGCGAGGTCAAGCTCGCCTGACGACGGCGAGGTCTTGCCAGATCTGGGCGAGGCCTCGCCGTCGCCAGGCGAGCTCGGCCTCGCCCATGGCCGGCGAGCTCGGCCTCGCCATGGCCGGCGAGCTCGACCTCGCCATGGCCAGGCGAGGTGGAGCTCGCCCAGCGACGGCGAGGCCTCGCCCAGATTTGGCTCGACCTCGCCGTTGCCGGGCGAGCTCGACCTCGCCTAGCGACGGCGAGGTCTTGCCAGATCTGGGCGAGGCCTCGCCGTCGCCCATGGCCGGCGAGGTCACCTCGCCGGCGAGCCTCCCCCTGGCCGGTTCGGCCAGGGGGAAGAAGGAAAAAAAATATTAAAATAATGCCACGTCAGTCGGCGGGCGCCGGCTGGAGTTCACGTCAGCGCCGGCCGGCCAAAAGTGGCCGGATAGATTGAATTAGCATAATTGTAAAAGGTTTAGGGCTGAAATGGCAAAAAAAAAACAGATTTAGGACTGAATTAGCACAATTGCAAAAGATTTAGGACTTTTTTGATAATTTTTCCCGTTGAAAAATTTACATCGAGATGTAAATCCCACAATTATCTATATAATATTATCGCGAGTCTTATCAACGGCTATTTTCCGGGGGCATCTGCTACGTGTATTTAACAAGGAATGTGTCGATTTTTCGCCGTCTTGATTCTTCGTAATATGATTTCATCGGTGCATCGAGAGTTATGAGCTTTCTTCATATTTACTTGCTTAACAAATTTGTTGAGGACACTTGTCAATACATTAATAGTCACGATTGAGAGTTAACTATTAGGCTTGTAAGGGGATAATTACCAAAAAAAAAAGTCTTAAATCCATTATACGGACGCAAATACAGTTCTAAATTTTTCAATTTGGCTAATTTAGTCGTGAGCTTTTTGAATATTTGTCAATATTATCCTTTCAACCAATTTTAATCAGAAATCGCTAACATAGATGTTGGCCATTCTATGTGATATGGTTGGTGTTGACTAGGGGTGTCAATGGATCGGGACGGGTCAGGCTTTCATGATACCCGACCTTGCTCGAAAATATACATGATTGCGCTTGACTTGACCAGACCCGACCCAAGACCCTGTTCATCATATACCCCAAGAGTAGGGTCGGGTCGATCTGGGTCGGGTTTAGGGTTTTTTTTTTTTACAGGGATCAATCTCCAACCATCAATTCAAAATTGAACCAGCTAAACTTGAGCGAGAGAGAGCTGCTTTATTTTGTGCGGCTTGTTCTGTACCTCCTCCTCTATCTCTCTCTCTCTTTGCATTTGCGGTATCAGTTGAGCTCTGCTCCCTCCACCCAATCACCACCTAAGAAGGCCCACGGGAGTAGCTCCGGAAAAATGAGTGCCGCGGCCGAGTCCAAGAAGAAATCGCCTGAGCCCCGGTGACGAAGCCGTGTTCCGACGACCGGAAGCCCTCGTCGGCCTCCTCGGTCGCCGCTGACCGTAAGACCGTCATCAAGAGCGTCGACATGAAGGACAACATGCAGAAGGAAGCCATTGACATGCAGAAGGAAGCCATCGACATGCATAAGGAAGCTTGGCGTCGCTTCGGAATCGAAGACGAGAGCCGCGACGGTCGCTGCTCCGGCGGAGAGGATCGACAGGGAGACGGAGCTTGCCGGGGAGGTAGGGCTCGATGCCAGGGCCTCGACCTGGCGGTCACGATGAGCGCCGTGAGGGCGAGGATGAAAGCCACCACCACCATGTTCACGAACTTCACGGCCACCATTGCCACAAACATGAGCTTTTCGCACGCCTTTGAGAGGTTATAAGGGTGAGGAGGAGCTAAGGTTTCTTGGTCGCGCTTGCGTAACAAGAGAATAGAGCAAAGGGGAAAGAGAGAGAGAGGGGAAGGGTTGTTCTAGATGAGTTACCTTTGGTGACAGGGTCAAAAAAGCCCAGCTCGGCTTGGCCTAGCCCAACCCTAATAATTACCCACACCTAAAACCCTTACCCAAAGAAGACTAAGACCCGGCCCCAAAATACCCTCAAATTTCGGGCCGGGCCGGGTCGGTCTTGGTCGGGCCGGGCCGGGTCGGTCTTGGTCGGGCCGGGTCGGCTCGGGCTTTTTTGACACCCTTAGTGTTGACGTGGATAATTTTTACAAATTTCAAAATATTTTTTTTTCTGATTTTTTTCTTTTTTTTTCCATTTTTATAAAAAATTTTGATAAAATGCAAAAATTGTTCACGTCAGTGCTGCCTGTCATATGCCGGCCTTGCCACGTAAGATGTTTGGCGTCCAAGTTGGCAATTTCTGCCCAAAATTGGCAGGAAGGACTATATCAGCAAATTGTCAAAAGGTTTACGACTAGATTGGCCAAGTTGAAAAGTTTACAATCGAATTGGTATCCATACAATAGATTTTATGACTTTTTTTCGGTAATTTTCCCGGCCTATAAGGACTCTTCCAACGAGAGGCGAAAGTTGATCGTCAGGGCTCCTACTAGGTTTTCAGGATAGTGAAAAGTATGGAAATGGACCGAATCGCGCATCAAACAGACGGAGCATATCATTGGGCCAAAAGGACCTCGGACCTTTCTAAGCGTGATGAGATGAAGACATTTAAAGAACGATTGACCTCCTGAAAAAGTGTCGACTTAGATTGCGCTAGTATTAAAGGATAAAATGGTGACTCTTGTTAGTAATACTTAGACAATACCTCGTACATGCTAGGCCCAAGTTGTCACCTTGACTTTTCTAAATTATTATTTTTTTATTTTCTTAGACATGACTTCTTAATATACTTGAAAGTTTTAGCCTTCGAAATTATTTTGTGGTCTTTACTTTATTTTACATTTCCCACTTTGATATATATATATATATATATATATATATATATATATATATATATATATATATATTAGAACGTAAAATGATCTCTGTTGCTAACTTTTGTAAGTTGACTTTTGACCTGTAAAGACCAAGCAACTTACCACATCAAAAATCGAAAGTTAGAAAAAGCAAAAGAGCCTGTTGCCCCTTATTACCCTCGATGAGTAGCCTCACATCTAATCAAAACGAGGGTTGAAGATGATCAGTTAGGATCCTACCATCATCAATAATATGTGTATGCTAAACTATAAAATTAATCGCATGTCATAACCATGGCGGTCTCACTTTTCCCCCCTCCTCGACCTCATCGACACGTTTCGCTTTTCTCCACGCATCCTCGTCGACACATGACCGATCATCTGTTACTAATAATCCTATAGCATATCACGGCATGCGACACTCGACCGCTACCTTCTCACTAAGTAGCAGAAATAACCGAGTGCCGGAAACGTTTAAACGGAAATTTTATTGCTCGGAATCGGGCTTCGGAACGAAGACAAGGCTCGTGACGAATTCGATCACGAGGCGCGGGTCAACCAAATTCCCATATAAAGGGGGCATGGGCATAGACCCCATCATTCATGGCTGTCAGCAAATAATTCACCCCTGGACTAAGTTATCAGAGCTTTCACTCATCACATCAAAACCCTCGCTTAGTTCTAAAAAGAGCGTTGCCTTATCCTCCGTGTACCAAACTCCACCATGAAAACGGAGGCATTGGGTGCAATAAGGAGCAAGTGCTTGGGTCATTCTGGGCAAAACGGGATTATATGCACTTTTTTGTTGTGTGAGATTGAGAGACACCCGTCTGTCTGGCTCCCACTGTTTCTTTGTCTGTGCTGAAAATTGCAAATAAAAAAGAGGAGGTCCCCTCTTTTCAATAAAAAAAAAATAAAACATAAAGGACTATCATTTGGGAGTTTCTAGTCTCATCTTCACTCTCTCTCTCTTCACCCTTGGCATCAACCACACACCACACCACTCCCTTGCATCTGCTGTGCCCAGAGAGGGAGAGAGAGAGGCAGGGGGGGGGGGGGGGGGGGAGAGTTTAGTCGGAGATTGACTGGTTTCTGTTTTCCTGTTTCTTGATTGATGTTGTCGCCAGGTTAAAACCCCATTTCAGTTGCAAAAACACTGCCTTCTTCCAATCATGGCGGTCTGGAGTTCAGTTTCGGAGCCAAGAATGGTAAGAAAAGACCTGGGTTGCTGTCAGATTTGGCTGATCTTTGTCTCCCTCCCTCTCTCTGTTCACACCAAGAAGCAGAGTACAATTGAATCTCTGGTTCTCTCTTTAGTCATCTTTTACTTGGCTTCCTAATCTGCTTGAGCAGCCTCCTTTCCTTTTCGGTGCTTCAAGTCAGAACAAGCAGAGATCTTTTTCTGGCTCTGACTTTTAGTAACTTGTCCTCTCAGGAAGCTCCTCTTCTCATGGCTATCTGACATTTTACCAACCATTTGGAAGGACGAAACTGCGAGCTCATTTTTCAAGAACCCGCCATGGAATCGGATCTTCAACAGCAGCAGCAACACGGCCTCGTCTCCAATTACCAACCCCAGCAACACGGCAACCAACCCAACAACAACTCGGGGTTGTCCCGATTCCGATCCGCCCCGAGTTCTTACTTCAAGAACTTACTGGACAGCTGCGAGGACTTCCTCAACCGGCCTTCGAGCCCCGAGACGGAGCAAATTCTCGCGCGCCTCATGTCCTCCCCCGCCTCCGGCGGCGGTGGAGGGGGCGGCGGGGGCGGAAACGCTTTTGGGTCGATGAAGACCGAAGCAGAGGTTCTTCAGCAAGAACCCAGCAACTACTCCTCTGCTGCTTCTTCGCAGAACTTTTACCAGGGCTCGTCTCAACTGCAAAACCAGAGCATGGAATACAAGGTAGCGGGCTCGATGGGTATGGATCGATCGGCGTCCGTGAAAACGGGGAACAATAATAACTCTTCGAATCTAATCAGGCAGAGCAGTTCGCCTGCCGGATTGTTCTCCAACGTAAACATCGATGGTACGCGAAATCTCTCTCTGTCGCTACGAATTATCTTCTTCAGTTGGTGTCATTTTACTTGTGGGGTTTCTTTATGGAAGATGCAGAGAAGCGAGGAAGTTCCAATTTTTTGGGAAGTTTTTGCATTGCAAGTTGACATTTATTATTCGCAATTCTTATTTTTTTTCATGGCTACTTCCTCGTACTTTAATTTTTCTATTGCTCTTCCAGATCCCTTTTAAGTACATCAATCAAATTCCAAAGGGAACAACAACTTGGAACTCGAAAAAGTCCTAAAAAAGAAGAAGAAAGAAAAGGCACAGTCCTGGCGGCTGTTAATCAAATCTGTTGAAAGAGATGTTTGGAAGCTTCTATTTGTTCTTGATTTTGATCTCGATGTGTACTGAATTCGAATGATTTGTGGATGAGTTAGACGGATAACAAACCGATGCGAATGGCAGGATATTCTGCTTCGAGAGGCATTGAGGATTTCGTCGGTCCCGGCGCCAGAGGAGAGTCATCCTTCTCTCCGGCGAGCAGGTTCGGCAACTGCATGAACTTCTCACCCAGGCCACCTCCTTCCTCGTCCGGGAAGATGAGCACTGAAAGGGGAAAGAAGAGCATGGATATCAGTAGCCCTGAAGGGGGCGATTTCGGCGAAGGCCATGGCAACAGCTACGTCACGGGTTTCCCTATCGGCTCGTGGGACGACCCGGTGAGTCTTTCGGACAATTTCACTGGCGGAGATGAGGATGAAAAGGGATTTTTGGGTTTGAATGCATCGGAAACCGAGGTATTAGGCGCTTTTGATTCACATTTGTTGTTTGCACTTAGGTCAGTTTATCTGATGAATGAACAAACGTGGGATCTGTTCTTATTGATCAGGAGGGGAAAGGCAGAGTTCCTGGTCTTTTAGCTCACCACTTGAGTTTGCCGTCTAAAAGTTCTGCAGACATTGATAAGTTTTTGCAGCTCCAAGATTCTGTACCGTGTAAAATTCGCGCCAAGAGGGGTTGCGCGACTCATCCTCGCAGTATTGCCGAGAGGGTAAGTTTAATCAATCTCTTCTTGTGCTACTCTGAGTTTCTTCATCTTTGTTTCGTTAGAAGGGTAAGTTCCGCTTTCAATGTGAACAGGTGAGAAGAACCAAAATCAGTGAAAGAATAAGGAGACTACAGGATCTTGTTCCGAACATGGACAAGGTATGACTTTCAAATTTCTGGATGTGAAACTGAAATGTGAAATTGAATTTCGGGTTGTGTTCTCGGCAGCAAACGAACACAGCAGACATGTTGGACCTGGCCGTTGATTACATCAAGGACCTTCAAGAACAGGTTCAGGTAACGCATGAACCAAAGATTTTGACTGGAAATTCACCAAACCCTCCACAGAAAAGAAGTCCATGCAATATGTACATATCGTTTTCATGATTTGTTCACCTTGCTTTTTCTTGTGTTTTTTTTTTTTTGTTAAGACGCTCTTGGACGATCGCGCAAAGTGCACTTGTCCAAGCAAGCAGCAGCTATAGCACAATAAGGAATGCCAAGAAGTCGCTTGTGTACAGAATCACATCGCATTTGGAGAGGAGGATTGAATGGTGATGGACAAGAGAAGATGTCTCTGTCCATTGGAAAGGAAGCTAAAGCCAGAACCATGTATTGTTCCTAGCTCTGCATAAACTGGACTACTCTGGTGCCCACTACCTGTCTACACTGTTAAAAGAAGTTCAAATCAGTGTATTAGCCATAAATTCTGGAGCATGTTGTGTGATTTTGGTTGCCAAGTTCAGCTAATTCTGGAAACATCTATGTGTTGGGAGGGAGATAGAGAGAGAGAGATTAAAATTTCTTTTATTGATGGATTGAGAGAGAGAGAGAGAGATATTGCCATGAATGGTGGAGCCATTAAATGGCATGGGGGAAACAAGTGGGGGCTACCCTTATGTTGGGTGATCATAATTGAAGGCAGATGAATGAGTGGAGCAGATTAAAATTCTGCAGAAAGTCAAGCAGCCTGTGACATGATGATGCAATATGATGATCAGTTTGTGGTTGGCCTCTCTTCTTTTCATTTCTTTCCTAATTTGGGAATCAAGCATTCTCTGCCTGTGTTGTCCTTGTCCCATTTTGGGCATCTTCATCTCTCTCTTTTGGCTCATGATTGTGTTCTTTTCTCTCTATCTACCCCCTCACTCCATGTTCTTTTGCTTCTAAAGGTGAAAGATGGAAAAAGTTGGGCGGTGGGCTAATGGCTTGATCAAGAAACTCCTAAGCTTTGAATGTCATATGTATTAAATAGGTCCCCTTTGGAGAAAGATTTGGAATACGGCATCGGATGTGTATTCTCATTAGGTAGCGGCATTCGCGTTCTCGGACAGGTGTCCTTTTACTTCATGAGTCGCGACGCTTGTTCGGATCCGATGGTCATACAGTTATGGTTCCTACGGAATGTTGTTACTTCACTATCACTCGGCCTAACGCGAACTCTTTGGATCGGAACAGATGAATCCTAGCCTGCAGAGCACATGGGTCCGTGCCTTTGTTATGTTAATGTGGCTTATGTATGACTGAATTTGCATCCCGCAAGTGTTGAAGGCATTAAAACGGAATCCCACTCGATTCATATAAAATTTCTCAATTATTGTAAAAACTTAAACTGTCATAAGAATGTAACGTTTAATAATTAAATATTCTTCAAAAAGAAGAAGGAAAAAGAAGGTAAAAGTGGTTGTCATTCTCAACGCCCGAGACAAAGAGTGGGGGACTCAAGTGTTCTTCATTAAACAGCCCCAGCCACTCCTTCCCTAAATTCATGTGTCGAAGGATCCACTTCGGATTCGGGCATGATTCGACTCCATGATTTCTCCCTCGCTCTTTCTCTCTCTTTATGATTGTTCGAAAATAGGAGGAAAATGGGAGGAATGAAAGGTCCAATTTATTTCACGGAAAAATAAATTTATCGAAGAGTGATCGCTTATATCGTTCAAAATAATTAATTAATGAAAAAAAGTTTTAAGAGCAAGCGAGAGAGAAGGGAAAGTTTCAAAATTGGGCCAATTTTCAAATACCACCATCGTTTTTCTTATCCTCATTTGATTTCCCAACGGAGCTTTAAGCTTACGAAAAAAGATTTTCTTTTACCGTGATTAACGAATATTCTCGTCCATTTTTCCACCTTCGGGGCAATTGTGACTTCTACATACAACGCTACGGTGTTATCGCATCTTTTCACTTATTGAGCAATAAAATTAATTTGCTCCACATTCTAATAGTTTAAACTTTTGGAGTAAATGATCCCGCACTTAATTTTAATTCAATATCCAAAAAAAGAGGTCTCAAAAGGGCAATAATGTATTAACTTCCCACGATGAGAAAATTTCGAGTTACTGAATATAATACGCATCATATTCTAAGAGTTGAAACATTGTGGGGGTAAATGGACGCATGGTTTTCATTAATTTACATCCAATTAAGTTACTTTTCATGAATTATATTATTTTGGCAATTACAATTTTTGAATTTGTTGTGATTTGTGGAAAATAAATAATAAAAAGAATCATTATATTACCATCTCTGCATTTTTCCACTTTCAAACGATGAAAATCTTTTGTCTTTCTTATCCTAAAAAGTCGGAGGCCGGAACAAAAGCGGCTTTTATGAGATTTGCTTTTTGACTTTTGTAGGGTGACTTTTGTCTGAAATTTGGTCTAAATAGAGGCCAAAAATACGGACAAATGTGTACCAATTCATATGGGCGATAACTCGATAATTCGGTCCGTTCCATTTTGCTATTATTACTATTTTCTTAATGAAAGTTACTTTTTTTTCTATCTTAGCGGGCGTTCGGAATTTTTTGAGCGCTCGACTAATGCCCATTGGACATACTAGTTCCCCGTGCCGCTCAAATCGGGTAATTATCGGAGATGCGCATATCTGTGCTCCTAGGTGCGGCCTCTAGAAAATGCATAGGTACGGTGATTCGAACCCCAATCTTGAGAGAGGAGGATGGACACGCTTGTCAACGGAGCGCACGAAACAATAGTAAGACATCAGTTTGATTCCGGTAGTTCCGCAATTATTGAAATTGGCATGTTTTGCAGCCTTTGTTGCTCTTATTCGCGTTTTGATTATGTAATAACTATTTGTCTAGAAGTGCCAAAAGTTTCTTATGGCGTTAATTTTAGTGCCAAAAGTTGTCGCCGACTCACTTTAGTGTCAAATCGGAAAAAAAAAAAACAATCACTTAAGTGCCATTAGCGAAAAATTGAGGCAAAAAATATTACGTGACTTTTATAATAAAGATTTTAGTATGAGTTGGCATTTTTTTAATTAAAAATCAATCCACGTGGACATTCTAAACGACTCGCGCAAGTTGACATGGCTGGCATTCCTAAAAAACGACGTCGCGCAACTCCCCCGCGAAAAACACGCCCATGCTTGACTCTCTAAATAGGTGTCGCTCGTCATCGTCGTTCAACCCTCGACTCCCGCCGAAAAAATGACTCCCTATTACAGTCATTCACTCATTGTCGCCGGCGACGCCGTCGCCGTCAGTCACCAACCACCATCGCAGACCATTGCCGGAATATACAGACAGCAAAGAAAGCGAAGTCCAGAGCAGCGGATCTCGCAGGAAAACTTCAATAAACACAATCTACTTTAACCAATACTAGCAACGAGATTTTTCGCTTTCCATCATACATTGATACATATCTAGTTTCGACGATAACAGGGGCTTTTCATATTCCCGGACAAGAGGCATTTCATCGAACAATTTTTGCGCACGGAAAGAGTTGAATCTAGTCACGAAATCGAAATTGTTTTTTTTTTTTTGTGTGTCTAAAATCAACATTCGAATAACGATGTCATCATGAATTATCAAATAACAACTCCAGATCTTTAGTGGTTCACACATGAGTTACATGAACACAACTTGATCTTATACCTCTCCAAAATAGGGTAGAAAAGAGGACATATCATTACCTGGCATATCAGCTACTCTGGGACTGCAACGAACAATGGACAGGTCAAGATCGACGAATAAGTTTCGGACGAGGTTTACTCTCTTCGGATCTCCTCGACCAAAGAATAGAGCATGCAGTAAAGAACAATCTTTAGTACTCTTCCGGAGGTGAAGCAAGCGGTGACAAGTGATCACGAACGACAATGTATGGCACCGAAAATGACGGTAATCCAAATTCTCGAGCAAACTTCAGTTGAGCAAACCGAATTAGGGTTTCGATTTAGGGTCGAATGGTCGATTTAGGGTTTCGAATTTGGGTTGTTGAATTGGCGATTTAGGGTTTATATTTGGGGCAAACCTTTTAGATGACATCGTTAGGGGTATATATGTTGACTAGGCACGCCGGCGAGCCTCGTCGGTTGGAGAAATTATTAAAATATGGCAATGTCGGATTTCCGGTGACCCAAATCATAGTCGGTACTTAAGCGATCAATTTTCTTTAAAAAACGATGGCACTTAAGCGATCCAAAAAAAAAACTTTGGACACTAAAGTGAGTGACGTACAAAACTTTTGCATTTTTAGTGTCTTTATGGGAATTTCGTTGAATTGGCAACATATTCACGGACGAAAGTATCTGAATTAAGATTACAAAATGAGGAACTGTATTAATGTGTTGAAGTTGTAAACATAATGACATGTTATAACGATAATGCATAATTGGGACGAAGATATTAAGTATGCAGCGGATGTTCATGTTAATCAAGTCGACATTCTCGGTTCGACTTTCGTGGCCCATGATCTCTTACTTTGCCATCGGATCCTAAACCAAATGAACTCGATGCTCGACTCACCAAAATGTGGGTCGACCTTGATCTCGATCTTTCTCTTCACGTAAACAATCACTTACAAAAATAAATATTGAGCAATCTTGCTTGCTAACGTAGGCCTAACTTTTGGGCCAGGAGGCTAAATTGGGCGGATAGATCGACCCAATTAGCATGTAGCACATTCGGCCCCTCTGAACTGTGGAATTGACTCCACGGAAAAAAGTTAAAAACTACCAACCCAATCTCATGAAAATTCGTAGGGCCCATATTAGGACAAAGAAAGTTGAAAAAGCTTTAGTTACAAACCTATTGATTAGCCACAAAAAACAAGGGGATGAAAAATGACAAATCTAAGATAGCTTTTTTTTTTTTTTTGGTCGAAAATCTAAGATAGCTTGAAACAATACTTACTCTAACATCTCACGTGATCTTAGTTTTGTACTTATGGCATGCTTAATTTTAAGGGGAAAAGGGGATATGAATCTTCTCCTCGACCTGCTTTATCTTGATGTGGAGATTAAGACGTTTGAGAGCTAGCTTGAAGCTTAATATGTGACATTCCTAAATTAACTTGCTCGATTAATTGTCCGCTCGGCCATCCCATACTGAACCTCATGGTTTTGTCTTTTGGCCAGAAAAATCACGTTTCATGGTGGTGCTCTCATCTGAGCATGCTTAACTTTAGAGTTCCAATGCTTTGCATTGTTGTTATGTCAAAAGGCGCTTCTTGCGAGTTAATTCCAATTTCACATCTATATCCCATAAACACTCCTTGTTCGATGTGTAATTTAGTTCATTTCTACCTCATTCGCCGTCCTCAAAGCCTATTAGGAGTCATTCCTTGTCTAGATCTTCTGGCCTTGACGAACACTCCAAGCCCTAATCAGATAGGCCCACCAACTTTCGTGTAGTCTGTCCTCGAACCATATACCTACTGGAGGGGTCTCGCTCTAGTACTATATTGTGACGTCCCCTAGATTAACTTACTCGAGATATTGTCCGTTTTGGCTCGTCCTAAATCGAGTCTCATAGTTTTGTCTTTTGACGTATAGTTGGACACTTTCCCAGGAGGTCACAGATTCTAGTAGTGCTTTCAACTAAGCATGCTTAATTTTGGTGTTTCAATGCTAAGCATTGCTGTCACGTCAAAATGCGCATCTTGTGAGTTAATTCTAATTTCACATATATATCCTAGAAATACTCTACATCTATCCGGTGCACAATTTGATTCATTCTTACCTCTTCGGCATTCTAGAAGCCTGCCAAGAGCCAGTCCTTACTAAGATCTTCTCGCCTCAGCAAACACTCTCCGCCCTTACTGGACTAGGTCGTTACATAATAAGCTCGAACACTTGCTTTAAATTTGACTTTTCTTTTTCAAACCTCAACGAGTTATTCAAATCACAAGTATATCCGCCTTCATTGTTCAAGATATGTATTTGAATCACTATGTTTGTGCATTCTCTTGGGGCCGCCCAATGAGCTCGGATCTCGAAATGGACAGTTTCCCCCTTCTAGAGGGAGAAAGAGGGCCCACGATGATGACTTAGATGGTTACATTAGGGGTTTTGGTAATTTCTTGGAGCATGTTAAAGTTGGATCTCTTAATTGACTCATGTTCTGATTGGCCCATTTTAGATCACTGATTACCGAAAGAGCAATTATACTCGATCTCGAAGGGCGCCCATATACAATAATTTGTTCTGAATGAATGAACCCCCACAACTTTTAGTTCATTATTTACTTTTCCCTCCCCATTTTGCATTATACAAACAAAAAAAGATCAATATTTTGCGATTCTCTTCAACGTGGATGGTCCCCATTGTTCACTCATGTTAAAGAAAGGCACACAAAACAGAGATCTTGTTGCAAGTCAACCACATAGATGAAGAGATAGATTTTAATAATTGATGATTGCAAATTTACTCAAAGCACAAAGTTGGAGTTGTGTGAACTTTGAGGTGTGGAGGCTTCATATAAGCAAGGTTTGGCTACTTGATTTGCTACTTGCCAATCACAACGAAGCTCCTACTTATCCATTGAATTTCCAACGTCGAAGGCGTGAAGGATCGCGAGATCCCGTGCTTGATTCAAAATTGATTCATTGATGGTCGAGTCGAAAGGTGGTAACAACTCGCCGGCACTCCTTCCATCTGACTAAGACAATGGATTGAAGTTTTCGATGGGAAACTTCCCTAATGGCGACAATGTCAAACTCGACATTTCACAATTGTCAAACTTATTGTAGATCTATGCAGAACCAACAGGGCTTTGTCTTAGATGGTAAGAGACTTTGCTCCTCTCCTTGTGGTTTTAAGTTCAAGCCTCGGTGCGAGCACTACTGCACGAATAAGATCTCGAATGTATCATGCCGCACACCATCGTACAGACCTAGCAAAGGGCAAAAGGACACCACCCATGAAAGAAAAGGGGTCTCTCTCGATGAATTGAGGGCTGCTAAGTGCCATCTTTATCTTCAATATTCCTGGGCTAATTAAAAAAAAAAAAGCACAAACTTTTGGTCGAGTGACAATTCTGCCCAAATTTTTTTTTGTCCCGTAAAAAAGCACCAATTTTAGGTCGAGTGACAATTCTTGCCCAAACTTTTTTTCTTCTCATAAAAAATCACCAACTTTCACCCTTATCCAAAATTTGGCCCCCTGTTGACTTTTTGTTTGAAGTCACTCTTGTTTGAGAAAAAATGTTATGGTTGTGAGCTTGGCGGATCTCGTCCACAGTATCTGTCGACAGGCGGTAGTCTACAACTTCAAATTATAAGAGATTCAATCTGGAGATTTTTTTGACTTGCCGGTAAAGTGAAGGAGATGAACTATTTAACTATTATTCTTCAAACTGTAGCTAAGAGAAAAACATAATGAATAGTACTTTAAATCCGGTCAGTAAGTCACGTGAATTTATTACTAAGGTAGGATAGTTAAGTTGGATAATCAATGGTTCTAAGTCAAGGAGGGCCAGATTTGAGATTTAAATGAAAGTGGGTGATTTTTTATGAGACAAAAAAAAGTTGGGGCTAGAATTGTCTTTTTTGTTTTTGTTTTTGAGGGCTAGAATTGTCATTCGATCTAAAATTTGTGCTTTTTTACGAGACAAAAAAAAGTTGAGGTCAGAATTATCACTCGACCTAAAGTTGGTGCTTTTTTTTTTTGAATTAGGCCCAACATTCCTTCTTCAACTTTGGAAGGCAAAATTGATCGAGATGGGGAGCAGCCACAGCTGACCCATTGAACAAAAAGAGTGCGCAGAGTCTTGGAACCTGTTGATCATGACTAATTAGTTTTGTCCTCACTGGAATCCATAAAGTTTTTTAGCTTGACTTGGAATATTTGTGTCCAAACCAAGGAAAATTTAACAAGGCTTATCACGTTCCTTGACATGAACAACCTCCTCTCGACATAAAAGAAAGAAAGAAAGAAAGAATCAAATGACGATACTCCGTACAAACTTGGCTTCTAGAAAACATTGCTTGAGAGCACCATATGTTGACCATGCCAAGTCAAGTTAAAATGAAGTCCTAATTTAGAAATAAAAAATCTACATTACATTCGAAGAAAATCAAACTGTAAATGGGTTTTGATATGCTGAAAAGAAGGCCGAAATTGAGGGCAATTGCATGCCAATAATTAAGGTCATGGATTACTCCCACAGCACATATTTTACCATTTTATTTGTAATATATATATATATATAAGTCGATTTCGTTTCCTCAAATAACACGATACCCACCTTTGGCCATCCCTCATTCTTTTCTTTTTCTTTTTTTTCCATCTATGCAGCCCTTTCCCCCCTCATCCTAATCATTTTAGGAAATAAATCTAAATCGAAAAATATGCGAGAGGCCTAAGGGATTGCAAGAAAGTCCCAACGGGGTGATTGGACAAAATCATGAACTTGCCCATTATCATGTGGTAACATACATCTTCCGGTTCGACATCGGCCTATGATCACAAAGCCACGAATCACCAAACCTCTAATGTGAATTTGGTAATTTCGGGCGAAATTCGAATGGGAGTGCGATGGACGACGAGAAAGCCAATCAAAAACACGGTAGGACATTCGATCTTATCAGATGCTGATAACGAAGTGGACGACCACTAAAATTGCCCAAAATCGAGGTCCAATCCATCTAAAGTCCCACCTCGGCATTCTTTTCTCACCAGGTCGGCGAACATTCCTGGAAATTGCAAGGGATTCATTTGATTTGGCCCCTAGATTTTTCCCAAATTTCGAAACCTTCCCCCCAAATTTTCTAAATTTTTTTTTTTCGATCCTCATCATCTCCTCCTTGACTTTCTCCCACCCCCACCTTAACCCGCTCGAAATCCAATCAATCGAAAGAGGAATTTAAAAGGAAAAAAATAAAGAAAAAGGAAAAGGAAAAAGGAAATTTAATATTGTGATATCCAATGCACATTGTTGTAGGCGAACAAGACAAGAAATTCCAAAAAAAAAAAAACAATAAAAAAACAAGACAAGAAACCAGTCTCTTCATTCTCCGACCCTCGAATCCATCCTCTCTCTCTTGTAAAATGCCTTGACTTGACTCACTTCTAAGATATTATTGGCCTTCCGATCGCCAGCTCGGTATAATCTTGATTCGAATGCAACGGGTGTCGTATAGCGTATTTCACTCGACGTAACTTCGAGATCTGGTAGATCGCACGAGCGAATCGAATTACCCTTTTTATTACTCGTGCCGATTAAGCCGATAAAATATTTCGGAAGTTCAGGCGATCATGTCATTCGAAGGGTTTTGTTAGCGGACGCTTCTTGGGCACGCACGCATTGATCATACCCAATGACGAAAAATTTCGATTTCAATACTTCAAATTACGTAGGACACTTAGAAAAGAATTATTAATATTATTGCTGTTCTTTATATGGGAATTTAACGAGTGACATGAAAAGTCCTTATATGAGAGAGAAGAGGGCAATAAAGGCTTTAGACATATGAAGCTTTCTCTCCCTACTGTGTGTGATGAAACTGTGCTGACTTGAGAAGAGAGAGAGAGAGAGAGAGAGAGAGAGAGAGAGAGAGAGTTGTGTCAGCAGTGCCCATTAACAATGACCAGTGGCTGCAAAAGAATACACAACTTGGTTCTTTCTCCTTCTTCTCCTTCTCCTTCTGCTTCTCCTTCTCCTTCTGCTTCTTCTTCTCGCCTGTAGACGAGCATACCAAGTCAATCTCTCTCTCTCTCTCTCTCTCTCTAGAAGCATACGTGCATCTCTCGCTCCTCTAGCCCCAACGCAAAGCAAAAGAATATTCATTGAGATTCAGTCTCGTTCCAGTTCCATCCCATCGACCTAGTTTCTCTCTCTCTCTCTCTCTCTCTCTCTCCCGAGAAAGTTGACGTTCAAGGCCATGAACTAACTGAGAGAGATATGACAAAGATGGACCGTGGGGACAAGTCGTCGCCATCAGCATCGTCGTCGCCGCCATCAGCATCGTCGTCGCCGCCGGAGTCGCCGTCGTCGAGGGGCCTGGCCACCGTGCTGTCGATCGAGTGCCTGAAGGGGAGCTCGAAGGCGGACGAGTGGACGGGCGACATGCTCCAGACCGGGGACATCGTGGAGGAGCTCCGGATCGGGGCGTCGGTGCAGATCCGGTCGCCGTTCAAGAACGGGAAGAGCGGGGTCCAGAAGGTGCTCCACGCCTCCTTCAAGAGCAAGGACACGTTCATCCTCGTCCGGGTCAGGCGCGGGTTCAACGAGTTCGCCGAGCTGCAGGCCTGCATCGTCCCCAACGAGTCCGCCGGCAAGAAGCAGTACATGCTGAGGTCGATCGAGGACCCCAACTACGCCGTCGGGTTCCTCGACCGGAGCGAGGCCGAGTGCCTCAACTTGCAAGGTCCGTGTCCCTGTTCCGTTCCGTTCCGCTCTCTTCTCTTCTTCCTCTTCGTCGTCTTCGTTGCACGCTCTCTCGTGCGACAGTGGTCTTCCCTTTGACTTTTCTTCATCCCTCATTCCACGTGGAACGACTTCGCGTGATTGGCCGTACGTGTGGGGCCCCTCTCTCTGTCTCCCTCTCTCTCTCTGTCCTCCGAAGCGCGTAACACGAGAATTAGATTCTGCTTGCAAAAATTAATTCAGAAAATGGTAATCGGAGCTGTTATTGGTTATTCAAATATTTTTGTCATTCTACTTTGTAAAAATTGATTTCTTGATCATTCTTGAGCACGTTCATGCGGGCACTGCATGTGATTCGGTGGTTAGGATCGTGATCTGCAACGAAGCCATGGATGAGCATTGCAACCTTCGCCGGGGACCATGGAACAGACCCTTTTCATCATCATGGGTGTCCAGTGTCCACGTCTCTGTCAAATTCGATAAGAAGAAAACAAGGACATGTACATGCGTTTTGCGCACTCCCATGCCATGGGCTACCGTGTTTTAACAATTGATAAATCTGCTGCTTTGCTTGGTTAAGCGGGACCGAAGTTAGATAGGCCCTGATTTAGGAGTAAATTATTCAGATGATGCCCATGAATGGCAGACGCCGGCCCCTGTGATTGGTATTAGCTTAACAGTTGTATGCGGTGATGGTCGCGGCGAGTTTAGTGCTCGATGAGATCTAGAAAGTTGAGCCAGATTCATGTATATGAAACCAACACCATCACCGTTGCACATTGCCAACTTGGCAAGTTGATTTCGCAATCGCCCATTTCCAGGAACCAGGAGAGCGCTTCACTTTCCTTCTCGTGTTTCTTCTTTTTTTCCTGTTCCTTCTGTTTCGGGGTTACAGAAGAAGTATCACTTTTGAGAATGTGGTTTGCCATCTGAAAGCAGCAAAGTGTTGGGGTGTGAATGGCCACTTGGCTTTTGCACAAGTTGACTGCTCCCGTCGGTTGGGTCGTCGCGTCCTCCTTTTTTGGTTCACCTAATTGTCCATTAGATCATGAGATTTTCTGTTCAGAGTCCACATTTGACTTTTCTCAGCTTGCTGTATTTCGTGGACTCTTTTTAAAGACTGAGAATGGTTGAGGAGCGAAGTCTTCCGAGCCGGTCAAGAGCAATTAGTGCCTGCTTGAAATAGGACGTATGTATGTATATGTATGTGTGCACATCAGATATCTACTGTCTGTGGGATTGCTGATACGCCTCTAATCTATGCAATTTTGTTTCTGGCTTGTGAAATCTTTTGGCGTTTTGATTGCCGAGTGTTACCGGAATGCGCATGAGATGTATCTTGAAGTTGGCCTAGTTATTATCATTCATTGTGACTGCTTATATGTTTTGGCAGATTGGCATCTGTCAATGTTGACTTGAAACCATAAACTGGTAGAAGCTACTCCATGTCACATAACTGAATAATTGAGCTGCTTAAAGGATTTATTAATGAATTAAAAAAATGGCAATCCGGAGAAACGCCCATCTATCCTCTTCATTTGTTCCCAATATAAACTGAAGGGTGTGGTTGGAATCATTCCCATTTTAAGAAGGCTATTCTGTCTTTAAAGGCCACAACCTGATGAAAGGGTGAACGGGGATTGTCCGTTTAAAGGCTGATGCCAATCATTCAAAACAATGAAGTCTCCATCTGAAGTCCAACCACACTCGCACCTGAAGTTATAATCTTTTTAGTAAGCGTATGCATGTCCGGATAATTGTGAATACCACCGAGAGTGAGGTTTGTGCTTGTTTTTTTTTTCTTTTTTTTTGGTTGAAAGGTTTGTGCTGGTTTACTCACCTTCCATTTCTGCGAGGATCATGTGATATTTCACTGCACTGTCTTTTGCAGGCATGTTGTAGACTCTGCCTAAATGCAGTCTTTATTCGCTTACCTTTTCTCCACAATTCTACGACCAAATGCAATGAGCCTTGGTCCTTCTAATGAACACTTATTCATCAAGGACTTACTGCATCGATCATTATCTGAGTGCTATCTTATCTCATTTGCAGACAGAAACAATCTTGCGGATAAATTCAGGCCCCAAAATATAGTTGACCTCATTGATTGCGCATCTTGCATCTATAACATTTGTCTGTGTGCCAACGGCAAATGTATGACATGAGGACTCCATGTTATTCGGCTTCTGAAAAAGCGTTTCACACCCATAGTAGAAATGATACACTTTGATTGTGACCGGTTTTAGTTATTTTTGGGAAGAACGGTTACAAAATTAGCAGCAGAAAAGCTCTGCTCAGAATCTTTCTTTTACTTTTTTTAGTCATAATTGCGTACCAACATTCGAGGTGCAAGTTTCAAACTTTGTGCTGCCTTGTAAAAACACAGGTTTCCAGCTTGAGAGTTGAACATATTTCCCTTATTTATCATTTTTTTTATATAAGGTAATGCTACTTGAGTGGATTCTCGACTGGAAAAACTAATTAATATATGGAAGAATAATTACCCTCTGCATGGATATTACTTAGAGATTGCAAGCTTCTTTTTCTGCTGCTACCTGCTTCTTTGTGCACTTTGAGATGGTTCTTCTAATTTGCAGCTTCAAGGAGTACGAGGATGGTAAATGCACTGTCCAGGACCCAGCTTCAAGATGGATACGTTTCCTACCGATGGGACCGCAAAATGCACGAGTTGCTTTTGGTTCCCAATTCAAGCTGCTTTCTCTCCATACTTTTCCTTCCAAAAGCCTCTGATCGGGTTGCCTCTCGTTACAACGACCTGGAAGACACCCTTGCAAGAGCAAATACGTGGCTCAACGCGTCCCAGCACTCTGGCGTGCCAATTGTCTTCATGAACATACAGACTGAATCCCTGCTTACTAAGGTAGACTTCTGATTCTTGAACCAAATTTCCCGTAAAAAGCCGCGTGCGTTTGCCTTACAAGTTTCTTGGACTAATTTCTTGAAGCATTTAAATAAATCAAGATACTTTGTACATACATATATTTCAAGATCTTCAAATTGTAGTGACTATGAAATCAGACTCACAATCACCTGGGTCCATATTTGTCCTTAAAACTGCCATAACATATTTCCTGAGATGATGTTATGTTCTCTCTTTCCTTTTAAATTTGGTATTGATAACTCTTTACTAACTGTCGCAATCCATGGATAAAAGTTGGAGGTGGTGAATGGAAGTGGAGTCTCACAGATCTTATTTCCTCGAAAAAATGTTGATGTCATTTCTACTTTGCTTTTGGCTTGTTACAGATATCTGGGGAGACGGCTTCTTCCACCGTAAATGCTAGCTCATTGGCTGACCTATCCAATCTCGCCACTGCTAGTCTATACGGTTTCGAGGACTATCATGGGGTTGACATTGGTGTCGTGAGGGCAGTTCGTCTCTGGTTTGCTCCTCTAGGAGGAGAGTTTCCTATAGAGATTAAACTACAGGAAGGTGACACAAAGCTCGGTTTTGCCATAAGCCGAACAGAGGAGGTAAGTTGTCCTAATTTCTCATGCCTTTTTCTGCTACATATAAATTTTTTCCTATCCACCAAATCCCACTTCTTTTTGTACAACTGTAACTTTCAGGGGTTTATCTATATATCAACAGTCATAGATGATGATGAAAATGCACCCGCACCCTCAACCCGGTCAGGCCTTAACAATCTGTACCGTGAGGCAACTAGCTCATCCAGGCTTCTTGTCATCTCAAGAGTATCGAACCAGAAAGTCCTCCCTTGGATTGTCTCATCGACCGGGGCAGTCCGATGCTATGACACGGTCTCTCTGAGCCAGAAGCTCTCCTTGCACCGCCATGCCAAGGTGCCCATCCTCATGCACGTCTTCCTATGGGACCGCTCGCTCTTCCCCGTGAGCGGAGGCAGCTCGAGGTTCAGGATGGCCCACTCGCCACCCGCCATGGCCTTAGAACCCGAAGCACCCTTGTCGCGGCAACCCCATGAGAGCCAAGTGCAGCCTCTGCCTCTCAATATATCAGATGATGACATCGTGATCAACGACAACCCGCAGTACAGGCTCGAGCGCGATACGGCCGGCGAGGCATCCTTTAGGTTCCATGATTTTGCTCTTCCAAATAATTGGGTCTGAAAATAATGGCTCCGCACATGATTCCCAGTTTTTCTTTATGATGTGTACATAGGTAGAGGAGAAAAATCCCCATGTACGTTCTTTTTCGACATACTTGAAGAGAAGAGGGGAAAAAACTTTCACTGTCCCCAGCATACGAGCCATCAGTTGATGTCTTATGTAGTGTTGCTCGAATCATTTGCTAAAGGAAATCATAATTTCCATGATCCTACCGTTTTCCTTTGTCCAAGTACTGCTGCTGCTGTTGTTGTTGTTGTTGTTGTGACATATATAGCTGAAAACAGTTGTGGATAGCTGTTAGCCTGCAATGCAAATTTGGTCGTCGGGAAATTTTTCTATTTTACAGATTGTTCAATTTATTACGATTATAAGTGATCTGTGGCATTTCTATCTATAGACAACCGTGGGATGAATTGTCAAAACCTGTATATATTCTAGTCGCAGCCAAGCGGGAGGACAGACCGGATCTGAAGGCCACGGTGCCTCCTGTGAAGTCCATGGAAAGTTATGGAGGAAAAGAAGTGTGAATCTTGAGGCTTGCTACCGATAAAGACTAAAGACTGCACATTTTTGTTTTCGCGCAGAGTCAGTCAATTTGTTTAGTGATACTGTCATTCTGTTGCTTTCATGTTAACGCCTATGGATGACATTTATATTGAAGGAGGCATCAGGTAAGGAGTGAAGGATGTTTTACTTGAATTAAAGTCGGGAAACGATTATGTCTACAGAGGCTATTTCAATCCAAAGTCGATCATACTGAAATGTAAAGAAGCACAAATTCGATGACTTGGTGGCATGGTGCAGAGTCCTAGGAAATTTATCTTTTGTACTTCAAAGCAGCACGATAATATCAATGAAAGGCTTTGTTTGGCAAGGCCTCTTTGATATTGAATAGTAATTTCTTAACTTCAAAACGTGTGGAAATATAATGGAAGAAACTATTGAAACAAGAAGTGATAACAAGAAATAGTGTTGCAATTGAGAGAACTTCTTTGTTAGTTCTTAATGAAGTCCAAGAGCAAAGGGGCCAGAATAGTCGGACAAGACTTGGAGCTCTTTTCCGTATTTTTCCATGAAGAAAAACTAAGGGCACCTCGATTTTTTAAGTTACGTCAAGTGTTCCCTCATCTTCTATATGTTACAATTCCATGAAGAAAAACTAAAAACAACTTGATTTCTTAAGCTGCCTCCAGTATCCCCTCATTCTCTCTGTCTTACAATTCCGAGTCTATTGCAGCTCTTGCTTCTCTTAACAAAGCATAGACATTGCCATGGTAGGAGCTCTAGTGAGCGGAGCCGTCCTCTCTGCTTCGGTCCAGGTACTATTTGACAGATTGGCGTCTCGCAGGCTAATAGACTCTATCTGGAGACGGAAAGATGATGACGTTCTGCTGAAGAAGCTAAAGACAAGCCTTGTATTTGCTGAGGCGGTATTGTCTGATGCGGAGCATAAGCAAATCACAGACCCGACCGCGAAACGGTGGCTATACCAGCTAGAAGAAACTGTCGCCGATGCTCAGAATCTCTTGAATGGTATTGAAAACAGAGATTCGCCGAGGAGGTTAACAGGCGGATCGAGAAGCAAATTGCTAGAAGACATGCTCGACAGATTGGAGCTTATGGCAAGGCAAAAAGATGCCTTTGGCTTCATAGAACTAGGAGAACAGCCTTCGCAGACGTCCCCGACGACGTATTTGATGCAGGAGCCTAACATCTATGGTAGGGACAAAGATATGGAGGCCATAGTCAGCTTATTGCTGTCCGATGATGCGCCGGGTGACCCAATATGCGTGATTACCATCGTCGGTGTCCCAGGGATCGGCAAGACCACGCTTGCTCAGTCTCTTTACAATGATAACAGAGTGGAAGGGTATTTTGACTTCAGAGTTTGGATCTGTGTCTTGAACAGGTTTGGTGTTTATTCGATTACCAAGACAATCCTAGAAGCAATAACTATGGTGAGTTGTGATATAAAGGACTTGAATCTTCTTCAACCGAGACTCAGAGAAGAACTAATCGGCCAGAAACTCTTACTTGTTCTGGATGATCTTTGCACTGAGGACTGCTCGGAATGGAACACACTGCAAAGTCCTTGTAGATTCTATGCACTGGCAAGCAAGACCATAGTGACTACTCGCAGTGAAATCAGCAGCGATGACGTGCACACTGCCAGCTTACTATTTAAGCCCACTACCATGCAAAGATTGCTGGTTGATCTTCGCTCAACATGCATTTGATAGTGGACTCGGTGCTCCAGAGCCAAACCTAGAAGCACTAGGCAGAGAAGTTGTGAAGAAATGCGGAGGCCTTCCTCTAGTCGCCAAAACCCTTGGAGTTCTTTTCCGCTCTAAACCAAACCATGGGGAGTGGAACGAAATCTCGAAGGATAGTACGTGGGATGCATCACATGATTTGAGCAGCTTTGTACAGACTTTAAGTGTACGACCGTAACTTTTGCTTATCTACTTCTCCAATTCTTTGATTCTAGTTTAGCAGCGAAACGTCTTGATCTAAACTTGCAATAATCACGTTTTCACGTTTTCTTGGGTGCAGTTTACAAGTGGAATAGGCAAATGGAGAAGAAAGCTTTTGGAAAGTCAACATGACGAAAATTTCTTCCCAGGGGTCCTGAATCAGTTTGGAGGCACATAACCATATATAAAGATCAAGAGGGCATGGCTTTCCATACTTCTGGTGCTCTGGATCGTGATTCTGAGCATTGCGAGCTCATTGGTTTACAAGACTGTAAAAGATTATCAGATCGCTAAAATGGAGGAGGCATTGGGTAGCATGTGCGATAAACGGGCACGGATGATACAGGATCAGTACACGGTCAATGCTAATCACATCCACACGCTTGCCGTGGAGGCGAGATTTTATCACTAACAGAATGCAATGTTTACTGAACAGGTGTGTCCCACACAGCTCTCCTGGATATCGATTTATCGACCTCTTTTATGTGCTGACCCTGACCCAGTAATTGTTGAAGATGTATATTATCATTCGTATAGTTTTAAGCATAAATGGCGTTCCCAGTTTTGAACATTTTCCTGCAACAAACAGCAAAGTATTATATAACTCATGGTAGTAATTCTTCTGCTGGAAGATGCGGGAGCCTCTTGGGATCTACGTGGATAATACTACTTTCCAGCGCCCATTACTTTCTGGAGTGGCTTTTGCAGAACGAGAGGGTCATTGCGAGAAGGAAAATTCTAAGAGAGGGGAGAAATGGGAGATGATGGATATGACCTTTATAAAACCGCCTTCGCCCATTCAAGCATGCGCACATTTCTGTGAAGCTAACACCGCTAGTGTGGATGCACTTCTGAATTCACTCTGCACAAGGATTAGAAAGGTACCTCATCTGTTATTTCCTCTTCACATGCTACGTCTTCGTATTTCCACAACACCAACGCTTAATCGGGGCACGTGTTTGCATGTTGCATGATGCAGGAAGATCAAGATCATGTACTGAAGGGAAGAGCCTTTGAGAAAGCTGTATTGTCAGGCCCCTTCAGGCTGTTACCATCGAATCGGATTGGAGTGATTTTGACATATCCTGTTTACAGATCCACACTATCACCTAGCATGCGTTTGGAAGAGCATACAGTGGCCACTGCAGGGTTTGTCTAGTGCTTCTCTTTCTCGCAGCATTCTTTGGTACAATTAGGATCGATCGAATGAGTATGTGGTCCTCTCCACTTACCAAATCAGTCCTCAAATTAATATACAAATATCAATTCAGTCCTAAACTTTTTTATTTTTCCAAATAGTCCTAAACTATTGGAGCTAGTTTCAAATGCTTCAAGTTTGCACTGGGATGCTCGAGTGAAATTAGCCTCCTTTGCCCTAAAGGCTCGCATTTCAGACAGATCCGAATTACTTCTTATTTTCCTGCTATGATTTCTTAATTCTATATTTTTATTATTTAACCATTGGCTGTTCTATGACAAATGCATAATGGTGTTAGTGTCCTATATTGATTGCAACCTTGATGTTGTGACATGAAGAATTTGTGCGATAATGTTGGCTTCTGCGTGCCGCGTTCATGCATATTCCAGATGCTTAGGTGGGAGGCTTTGGTCAAGTTTGCCTTGCATTATGTATTCCAAAACGTTAACGTCTGTCACGAGGATACGCCCTTGGCTATCTGTATCTTCTCATACCCAACCGATTCTTTCGTTTCTCTGTTGGTTAATTTAAATGGATATGTGTGATTAAAATTTACAATTGCCATCAGATACATAGGTGGACTCGTTGAATTCAAGTCCTTTGTGGAGTACGTACTCAGGCAACTTGGAAATCAGACGGTTTCGGTTACCGTATATGACATCACAAACTCTTCTCGCTCATTGATGTATGGGCACAATTATGTCGAAAGCAACCGACCCATGATGCACGAGAGCAAGCTTGAACTCGGAGATCCCTTCAGGAAGTACCTGATGATATGTAGGTTAATCCACCCAACCATATGGTCATTCAAAAAGAAAGGGTTCCCTATTGGGCTGACACTGATCATGCAGGTATCGAGATGCACCATCTTTATCTTGGATTGCAGTCATCGTCACAGTCTCGACCTTCACCATCAGTTCGTTAGTGACATGCCTGCTTTATGCTGCAGCAGTTCACATCGTAAAAATCAGACAAAGCGCACTCAGAATTCGAGGATTGGAAGTTCAACTGCAAGATGCGAACACAGCCAATTCCCAGGTGATGTTTACGGGGAACTACTACAAAAGCAGCGTGTGTTGTCCGCTTCCTGATGATGACAGTTCAATGCTAACCGTGTCTGATTTTCTCTGTCTAAAACAGCTCCGAGCCGATGCTTCCGAGATTAAGCAGCCTGCTTATATCATCATCAGTATGATAAACATAAACTCCCGCATTGTTTTTTTTTTCTTTTTTTCTTCTTTTTAATAGCTCTTGCACGATCAAGGGATCGAATTTTTACAGAATGCGTGCTTTCATTTTTCCCGCAGAGACTCTTGCCATGCTTCTTATGACCGAACTGAGCTCAATCCAGGGGGGCTACATTCAGATTGCTCGAGCTTGTGGAAGGAGGCAGATTGCATTAGTAGACAAAGCCCTCGAATCACCAAATTTGCCAGTCATAACTCATAACATCTAGAATGTTGCCAATTGCAGGTCATTAACATGTGGAAGGTTGCTTGGACAGTTTAAGACTGAGTCATTTATTCAGCTTTCAAAGTTTGAGAATTCTAGGAAAATAAGGTGATGATTGCAGATGCTTCTGCAAAAGCAAATAAAAAATTTCCTGTGTGAGTCAACACTTTCGACATGGTTCATATCATGGATTATCAATTTCTGCATTCCCACAAGCAAGCAAGAGTTTTCAAACTCAGCCCCAACTATTGTCGATTTCTTGAAATCACCATGTGTTTATCTATTATGGTCAAGACAAACAGACTACTGTCTTCTCTTCCTTGACGATAAACTCGCTAAATCAAACCTTTGCAAACTAGAAAGCACAAGACTGCCAGAATTCAAAGTGAAAAGAACCCGCATTCCATTGATGCCCAAACCTGTACGTCTACATGATGCCGATTCAAAGTCTCCATAATCAGGCCTTAAACAAATCAACCTCCCCTGCTACGATCAAACATCAAACCACATTTTGTTTAACTAAGCCCTCTCTCCCTGGATCCTCCTGGCGAGCTGGATATCCTTGCGCGTGATCGTGACCTGCTTGGCGTGGATTGCGCACAGGTCGGTGTCCTCGAACAGCCCGACGAGGTACGCCTCTGCCGCCTCCTGGAGGGCCGCGACAGCACTGCTCTGGAACTGGAGGTCGGTCTGGAAGTCCTGGGCGATCTCCCTCACCAGCCGCTGGAAGGGCAGCTTCCGGATCAGCAGCTCTGTGCTCTTCTGGTACTTCCTAATCTCCCTCAGCGCCACCGTCCCGGGCCTGAACCTGTGCCGCTTTTTCACGTCCCCGGTCGCCGGAGCCAACTTCCTTGCCGCCTTAAGCCGAACAGAGGAGGAACGGTATCCTAATTTCTCATGCCATTTTCTGCTACATATAAAGTTTTTCCTATCCATTAAAGCCCACTTCTTTTTGTGCTACTGTAAATTTCAGGGGTTTATCTATATATCAACAGTCATAGATGATGAAAATGCACCCTCAACCCGGTCAGGGCTTAGCAATCTGTACCGCGTGGTGACTAGCTCATCCAGGCTTTGTCATCTCAAGAGTATCGAACCAGAAAGTCCTCCCTTGGATTGTCTCATCTGAGCCATGACACGGTCTCTCTGTGCCAGAAGCTCTCCTTGCACCGCCATGCCAAGGTGCCCATCCTCATGCACGTCTTCCTATGGGACCGCTCGCTCTTCCCTGTGAGCAGAGACAGCTCGAGGTTCCGGATGGCCCACTCGCCACCTGCCATGGCCTTAGGACCCGAAGCACACTTGTCACGGCAACCCAATAAGAACCAATTACAGCCTCTGCCTCTCGAGATATCAGATGACGACATTGTGATCAACGACAACCCGGAGTACAGGCTCGAGCACGATACAGCCGGCGAGGCATCCTTTAGGTTCCATGATTTTGCTGTTCCAAATAATTGGGTCTGAAAAATTACGGCTCCACACTTGATTCCTAGTTACTTCATGATATGTACATAGGTAGAGAAGAAAAATCCCCAAGAGGATTTGTTTTCTGACTGTCTGTTTCTTTTTCAACAAACTTGAAGAGAAGTGGGGAAACAACTCTCTGTCCCAACCACATGAGCCATCAGTGGGATATCTTACATATCGATGCTCGAATTATTTGACAAATGAAATCGGGCTTGCGCTGATCCTTCCGTTTTTCTTTGTTCGAGTATCATCATCATCATCATCATCATTATTATTAATATGGTGACATATATAACTGAAAGACAGTTGTACATAGCTGCTAGCCTGCAAGGCAAATTTGGTTGTGGGGAATTTTATCTATTTTGCAGTTTGTTCAATTCGTTACGATCATAAGTGATCTGTAGAACTTCTATCCTATAAAGAATTATAGACAACCGTGGGATGACTTGTCAAAACTGGAATGTATTCTAGTAGCAGCCAAGCGTGAGAATAGACCGGCTCTGAAGGCCACGGTGTTCCTGTTAAGTTCATGGAAAGTTATGGATGCGGTGGAGTGTGAAATCTTGAGGCTTGCTATTGACGAAGACTAAAAGCTCTGAAAAATGTTGTCTTCTTGCAGAGTCAGTCAATTTACTTAGTTATATTGTCTTTCTGTCGCTTTCATGTTAACATCTACGGATGATTTTTTATATTGAAGGAGGCATCACGTTAGGAGTGAAGGCTAGTTTACTCGATCAAATTGGAGAAATGGTCATATTAACAGAGGCTATTTCAATCCACCGCCGATCATACAGATACTGAGTTGTAAAGAAACATTGATTCGATGACTTGGTGGCATGGTGCGGAGTCCTAGGAAATTTCTTCTTTGTAATTGTACAGCAACACGGAAATATCACTGAAAAGCTGCATTTGGCAAGGCCGTCTTTGACGACTGGATCATTAATTTCTAACTTCAAACCGCGTGGAAATGTGTTTGAAGAAACTTCGGAAGCAAGAAGCGTGAGCAAGGAAGACAGAATAGTGTTGCACTTGAGAGGAAGCCTCTCCGTTAGTTCTTAAAAAAAAGTACAAGAGCAGAGGGGCCACAGTAGTCGGTTAAGAATTGAGCCCTCTCCTTCGTCTTTTCCATGAAGTAAAACTCAAAACACCTTGATTTCTGAAGCTAATCTCAAGTGTTCCCTCATCCTCTGTATCCTGCAATTCCTCGTCCATTGCCCTTTTTGCTTCTGTTAGCAAAGCATAAACTTTGACATGGCAGGAGCACTAGTGGGTGGAGCTGTCCTCTCTGCTTCGCTCCAGGTACTATTCGACAGATTGGCTCCTCGCAGTCTGACAGACTCTGTCTGGAGAAGGAAAGACGAGGAAGTTCTGCTGAAGAAACTAAAGGCAAGCCTTGTATTTGCTGAGGCGGTGTTGTCTGATGCGGAACATAAGCAAATCACAGACTCGACTGCGAAAGGGTGGCTAAACCAGCTAGAAGATACCGTCGCCGATGCTCAGAATCTTTTGAATGCTATTGAAGACAGAGATTCGCCAAGGAAGCTAAGAGGCGGATCGAGAAGCAAATCGCTAGAAGACATGCTTGATAGATTGGAGCTTATGGCAAGGCAAAAAGATGCCTTTGGCTTCATAGAACTGGGAGTACAGCCTTTGCAGATGTCCCCGACGACGTCTTTGATGCAGGAGCCTAACATCTATGGTAGGGACGAAGATATGGAGGCCATAGTCAGCTTGTTGCTGTCCGATGATGCGCCAGGTGACCCAATATGTGTGATTACCATCGTCGGTGTCCCAGGGATCGGCAAGACCACGCTTGCTCAGTCTGTTTACAATGATATCAGCGTGGAAGGGTATTTTGACTTCAGGGTTTGGATCTTTGTCTCGAACAGGTTAGATGTTTATTCGATTACCAAGGCAATCCTAGAAGCAATAACTATGGTGACTTGTGATATAAAGGACCTGAATCTTCTTCAACTGAGACTCAGAGAAGAACTAATCGGCCGGAAACTCTTACTTGTTCTGGATGATCTTTGCACTGAGGACTGCTCGGAATGGAACACACTGCGAAGTCCTTTAAGATTCTGTGCACCGGCTAGCAAGACCATAGTGACTACTCGCAGTGAAATCACAGCGGCAATGACGTGCAAGCTGCCAGCTTACCATTTAAGCCCTCTACCATACGAAGATTGCTGGTTGATCTTCACTCAACATGCATTTGATAGTCGACTCGGTGCTCCAGATCCGAACCTAGAAGCAGTAGGCAGAGAAGTCGTGAAGAAATGTGGAGGCCTTCCTCTAGTCGCCAAGACCCTCGGAGTTCTGTTCCGCTCTAAACCAAACCATGGGGAGTGGAATGAAATCTTGATGGATAGTATGTGGGATGCATCACATGACTTGAGCAGCTTCGTACAGACTTTAAGTGTACGACAGTAACTTTTTGTTTTCTACCTCTCTAATTCTCTGATTCTATTTTAGCAGTGCAATAATCTTAATCTAAACTTGCAATGATCTCGTTTTCACTTTTCCTTGGGTGCAGATTAGAAGTGGAATAGGTAAATGGAGAAGAAAGCCTTTGGAAAGACAACATGACGAAAATTTCTTCCCACAGGGTCTGAATCAGTTCAGAGGCACATACTCTTTTAAAAAGATTAAGAGGACATGGCTTTCCAAACTTCTGGTGCCCTGGATCATAATTCTGAGCATTGTGAGTGCATTGGTTTACAATACTCTAAATGATTATCAGATCACAAAAATGAAGGAGGCATTGGGAAGCATGTGCGATAAACGGGCATTGATGCTACAGAATCAGTTCACGGTTCATGTTAACCACATCCATGCACTTGCTATGGTGGCGACACTTTATGACCAACGGAATGCAACATATACCACACAGGTGTGTCCCACACAACTCTCTTGCACATCGATTTATCTACCGCTTTTATGTTCTTGTTCATTAAATTTAAATGGATGGACCCGGTAATTGTTGAAAACGTAGATCATCATCCATATAATTTTAAGAATAAATGGTGGTCGCGGCTTTGAACTTTCACCAGCAACAAACGGCAAATTTTTAACTATCTCGGTTCTGTATGTCATATAACTCGTGTTACTATTTCTTCTGCTGGAAGATGGGGGAGGCTCTTGAGAGCCACTTGGATAATACTACTTTCAAGCGCCCATTACTTTCTGGAGTGGTTTATGCAAAACAAGTGGGTCATTGCAAGAATGAAAATTTTGAGAGAGGGAAGCAATGGTGGATAATGCATGTGACCCCCAAAAGCCAGCCTTTACCTGTTCAAGAAGAGTATTTACCTTCCAAAATCTGTCGAGACGGCATCGCTTATAAGGATACACTTCTGTGTTCACTTGCCAGGATGACAAGAAAGGTACCTCATCTGTTATTTCCTCTTTACACACTATATCTTCGTATTTCCACAATACCAAAGCATAATTCGGGCACGTTTTCGCATGTTGCATGACTCAGGAAGATCAACATCATGTATTGAAGGCAAGAGCCGTTGAAAAAGCTGTATTATCACCCCCCTTCAGGCTGTTTCCATCGAATCGGATTGGAGTGATTTTGATATATCCTGTTTACAGATCCAAATTCTCACCAAACATGAGTTTGGAAGAGCGCATCAGAGCCACTGCAGGGTTTGTCTAGTGTTGCTCTCTATCACAGCATTCCATAGTAAAATTAGGATCGATTGAATGAGTATGTGGTTCTCTCAAATCATGATTTCTCTGAGGAACTGGACCAACCATTTACTATGAATATTTGACTGTTGCTAGAAGAGGCCTGTGAGATGGACTGGATACTGTTGGAGCTAGTTTCGAATGCTTCAAGTTTGCACTGGGGATACTGGACTGAAATTGGTGTCCCTTCCCCCTAATTGCTCACATTTCAGACAGACCCGGATTACTACTTGTTTTCCTGCTATGATTTCCTAATTTTGTATTCTATTATTCGACCATTGGCTGTTCTATGACATATGCATGACGGTATTTTTGTGATATATCAATTGCAACCTCGATCTTATGATATGATGAACTTGTGGGACAGTGCTGGCTTGTGCAAGCCCCGTTTTTGCATATTCCAGATACTTCAGGAGTCTCTAGTTAAGTTTGCCATGCATTATGTAGTTCAAAATGTTAATGTCTGTAATGAGGATACAACCTTGGTTATCTGCATCTTCTCATGCCCAATCAATTCTTATATTTGTCTGTCAGTTAATTTAGATAGACTCTGTGTGATTAAAATTTACATTTGCATCAGGTATATTGGTGGAATCTTTGAATTCGAGTCCCTTGTGGAGAACGTACTCTGGCAACTTGGAAATCAGACGGTTTTGGTTACGGTATATGACATCACAAACTGTTGTCCCTCATTGATGTATGGTCACAAGTGCATCGAAAGTAACCGGTCCATGATGCACATGAGCAAGCTTGAACTCGGAGATCCCTTCAGGAAGTACATGATGATATGTAGGTTAGTCCACCCAATCAAATGGTCATTCGGAAAGAAAGAGTTCCCCTATTGGGCTGACACTGACCATGCAGGTATCGAGATGAGGCATCCTCATCTTGGATAGCAGCCATCGTCGCAGTCTTGATCGTCACCATCGGTTCGTTAGCGCCATGCGTGCTTTATGCTGCGGCAATCCACATCGTGAAACTCAGACAAGCCTCACTCCAGATTCGAGGATTGGAAGTTCAACTGCAAGATGCGAACACGGCCAATTCCCGGGTAATATTTCTGGGGAACCATAAAAAAAAAGCAGCCTGTGTTGTCCGCTTCCTGATGATTTTTCGCTAACCGTGTCTGATTTTCTATGTCTATAACAGCTCCGAACCGATGCTTCAGAGATTAAGCAGCCCGCTTATATCATCATCCGTATGATAAACCTTAACTTCTGCAGTATTTTTTGCTCTCTTCCTTTTGAAGCTCCAGTATGATCAATGGATCAAATCTTTTACAGAATATGTGATTTCATTTGCCCGCAGATACTCTTGCCATGCTTCTCGAGACTGAACTGAGCTCAGCGCAAAGGGGCTACACTCGGATTGCTCAAGCTTGTGGAAGGAGGCAGATTGCATTAGTAGACAAAGCCCTCGAATCACCAAATTTGCCAGTCATAACTCATACCATCTAAAATGGTCCCAATATCAAGTCATTACATACGGACCGTCACTACTTGCTTGGACAGCTTGAGATCGAGTTCCACTATTCAGCTTTCGAGCCAGTGATAAGTCTAGGAAAAAGTATTACTTGCAGATCAAACAGAACATTTTCTGGCGCGATTGACACGGCTTATGTAATTCCCTGCATTCGCACAAGAAAGCAAGAGACTTTCGAATTCAGCCCCAACTATATTGTCAATTCCTTGAAACCATCCCATTGACCACAAAACCAATGTAATAATCACGCGATTATCTATTGTTCTTGTCTTCCAAGAACATCAATTCACAAGATCAAACCCATGAATACTGAAAAGCACAAAAATTTGCCAGAAAGTCAAAGAAAGCGAAGCAAACCCACATTCCATTAATGCCCAAAGATGTACAGATACATAACACCGGTTCAAAATCTCCACAATCAGGCCTACAACCAAACAACATCCTCCGAAACGACGAAGATCTAACCACATTCCCCGTTTTTAACTAAGCCCTCTCTCCTCGGATCCTCCTGGCGAGCTGGATGTCCTTGGGCATGATCGTGACCCGCTTGGCGTGGATGGCGCACAGGTTGGTGTCCTCGAACAGCCCGACGAGGTACGCCTCCGCCGCCTCCTGGAGGGCGGCGACGGCGCTGCTCTGGAACCGGAGGTCGGTCTTGAAGTCCTGGGCGATCTCCCGCACCAGCCGCTGGAAGGGCAGCTTCCGGATCAGCAGCTCCGTGCTCTTCTGGTACTTCCGTATCTCCCTCAGCGCCACCGTCCCGGGCCTGAACCTGTGCGGCTTCTTCACCCCGCCGGTCGCCGGGGCCGACTTCCGCGCCGCCTTGGTGGCCAGCTGCTTCCGCGGGGCCTTGCCGCCGGTGGACTTCCGGGCCGTCTGCTTCGTGCGGGCCATGCCGGCGTGCGTCGAATTTCCTCGGGAAAATCGAGAGAGAAAGCGGGTTGGATCTGGTGGTTTCTTCTTGCGAGCGGAGGAGGAAGGTATATAAAGGAGGGAGGAAGAAGAAGGAGAGAAGAAGAAGAAGAGAGCGAGGCGGGAGAGGCAAAGGGTTTTTGGGATTTTGAAAATGTTTTCGGAGGAGAGGGGAGGAGATCCGGCCGTTGGATTGCGGGTGGATTTGGACGGGCGAGATTCGTTTGTGGTTGGAGCCACGCGGATCGCGATCCGCGAGGACGGTGGAGCGGCCAATGAGGGATGCGCCTGAATGGAAGTGTCGCGCGGGATGTGGGCGCGGGCGCGTTTTTCTTTTTTGGTCGGAGCGGGATTTTTTCTTTGAGGGTGTGGAATTTTTGACCGACGAAATTAATTTTTCTTTCGACAGAAATTTTTGGAAAGGTTATCCTCTCTCTTCGATAAATAGGAAAAATTTGAAAATTATTCGGTATTAAACGATGAAGTAAATATTAAAATTTTTTTATTGAAAGAGAAATGCTATGTCGGAAAATTCCACAACATCTTTTAAGATAATTAAAAAAAAAAATTAAAGAACGAGAGATAGAAGGATTGGGTTCGCTGTGTCGACGGTGCCGTGTCCCCCGAGGGCAAGGCATGGGTATACACCATGACTGGCCATTGTCCTGAGCGGAGTCGCCATCGGTCACCATTGAGGGAGAGGGAGGGCGGGACGCGAGATGGTGGGGGGCTCGAGCGACCCTAGTTATGGTCCGATGCGGTCATCGCAACTCTTGTTAATTAGGTAGCACCGCCCCTGTCGACAACGACTTGCGAGTTTTACATATTGGCATAGCGATGCTTCCGATAAGGTTCAGATCGATTTTGGCTCACGTATGTCGGACGTATATTGCCAAGTTTAATGCTCTTCCGAATTTCCTGCCCTTCAACGATGGTAAGCATTAGCTGATTCAACCACCTACTGTTTTTCTGGGAGTAGGAATGGATGGTAGCAACGGCTAATGAATGGATTAGGACAAACATTAGTAGGTGAAAGAACATTTTCTTAGGCACACTTTACTATTCATTTTGGTCATGTCGTCAATTACTCAATATAACTTGGTCGTGTTCTTTGAGGGTGGCACTCGTTAGGGATGAAAGCGGGAAAGATTTTGGGTTCCCGTTAATTTTCTTTTATTATCCGTCTCAAATCCGTTATGAGTTTTCGATGTTATATCCCAAACCCGCCTAGGATTCTCATCAGGTATCCGCAATCTTTTCATTGTATTTCATAATAAAACGATAATCTTATGTTCAATATATAACAAGCAATCTTAAATTTGCAAACACGACTATTTATTCGAAACTCGTGCATGGTAAAGATTTAATTAAAAAGCTTCAAAATCTCGAGATATAAGACTGAAAGCTTAAGATCCACAATCATAAAAATCTATGATCCAACAACTAATGATTAGAAGTTAGGCACGAATGGTGGCTGTCGTTGAAAAATGCTGTTTTGCACTAAATTTTGTTTCTAGCGTTCACAAATTTGTATGAGTAACCTAAAGAGTTTTAGCAAAGTAAGGACAATTTTTAAAAATCCCATAGACAGTCATATGAATTAATATGGCTAATAATACTATATATATCACTTAACCACCTTACGAATATAAGATAAAAATAAAAGAGAGAGAGAGCATTTTACTAGTTATAAATATCAGGTTCTGGTATCGGGTTTTCCGACTATGAATTCCCAAAACTATCTCAAAACTCTATATTAGATTTTTAGCAATCGAATCCAAACTTATCCCGCTTCCCCCAAAATCACAACCCGATTATGTTCATTAGGATTTGAGTGGGTCGGGTACCCTATTATACCCGTCTTGCTTCCATCCCTGGTATTAAGGGTGCATTTGATAACCATTTTGTTCCCGAAAAAAATTTCTGCTCAGAAATGACTTTTTATTTTATTTTATTCCCAGAAATAATTTCTAATCATTTGAAGGTATTTGATAATTGCCCAAAATTTCTATTCCTGGAATAAAAAAGGAATAGAAATGCGTTTGGTAACTGCACAAAAATTCTTTTTATTAATAATATTTTGAATTTTTAAGTATTTATTTATTTCTTTTTCTTTTTTTTCTTTTTTTTTTCTTCTTCCCCTTCCTTGGCCCATGACCAGGTCGCCGACGCCGGTGACAAGCCATAGACCAGGGCCGACGAGTGCCACCCTCGCCGACTTCGGAGAGGGCTGGACCCTTGCCACAGCCCTTGCCAAATCCGACGAGGGCCACCCTCGCCGGCCCTGGCCTGTGGCCAGTCGCCAACCACCGGCCACAGGCCATGACAAATGAAGAAGACCAACCAAGAAGAAGAAGAAAAAAAAATTTTCTTTTCCATTTCTAATTCTTGTTCCTAGAATCAAGAATCAACTTTTTTTTATTCTTGATTATGTTTCAAAACTAATTCTAGGAACAAATTTGTGCCTGAGAACAAAAAATTTACTAAACGGATTTATGTTCTTCTTTTGTTTAAGAGAACAAAAGAATAGAATCGGGTACCATTTGGCAGGTTATCAAACAACCCCTAATCCTCATCCTTCTCCGCTACTTATTTTATGAGTGGGGTCGCTCCCATAGAAATTTTTTGTTCCTTCATATGATATATCTACACGAATTTTTTTTAATTCAATTCTAGTTTGATCTCATTAGTGTGTGGACTTTTTAGTGGCGAGTGCGGGAATTAAGCTAAGTGGGGCGAGATTAGTCAAGGATAGATTTGAACTTAAACTTGAAATTAATTTAGGAAAAATGTACATTAAAAACTTCACGAGGTAAATTTAATAAGCATCTAGTGAATGGCGATAAAGGGACAGTGGTGGGATGTGACGCTTTTGGGGAATAGTGTCAAAAAAGTCATACACATATTGTATTTATGTCAATTTAATCATAAACCCTTTTTTTGGTGTCAATTTAGTCCTAAACATTTTATCATTGTGCCAATTCAGTTCTTCCAGCTTATTTTGACTAGATTTTGCTGATGTGAATGCCGGCTGGCTTACGTGGCATCGCCGGTGCTGATGTAGATAACTTTTAATAATATTATAATATTTTTCAAAATTTTTAAATTTTTTACATATTTTTTCTTTTCTTCTTTTCTTTTGTTTTTTCTTTTCCTTTCGTCTTCCTCCGGCCAATTGCCGGTCTAGTGACCAGTTGGAGGCCAGGGCCGGCGAGGTCAGGCCTCGCCTATGGCTGGTAGGGTTCGACCCTCGCTAGCCCAGCGCGAGGTCGCCCTCGCGGCCATCCGGCGAGGTCGAATGGTCACGAGGGTGGCCACTGGCGAGGGCAAGGCAAGCCTCGCTAGAGGCCGGCGACCGGCTGGAGGAAGAAAAAAGGAAAAGAAAAAGAAGAAAATAAAAAAATATTAAAAAAATTTGAAAAATATTAAAATATTATTAAAAGTTGACTACATCATCGCCGGTGGTGCCACGCAAGCGGGCTGGCGTCCACGTTAACAAAATCTGGTTAAAATTAGCCAGAATGACTGAATTGGCACAAAGATAAAAGGTTTAGGACTGAATTGGCATAAAAAAAAAGGTTTAAGACTATATTGACATAAATACAAAAGGTTTATGACTTTTTCAACACTTTTCCCGAGGCTTTTGCATTGACATTTACAAATTTGACTGCGTTGAAGTGGAAAAGCTCAAGTTACAATATAAAATACCACGACTTTTTATATCGCACATCTCACGTTGGACGTATATGCAATGATGACGAGGTAGATTTATTGAGTTATTCAAGTTCATATTCCATTTATTATCGTTTAAGTTGAAGTAACTTGATAGAGCATCATATCGAGTTGATCTTATGTTTGGTAATACTTATAAGTGGAGTTGCTCAAAAGCTCGGCGGTGCGATATATTGTTTTATGTAGAAGCAAAGTCGCCATCGAGGCGATTGGCCTCGTGGTAAAAGGGTTAGCTGTCTTCTATGAGGTCACGAGTTTGATTCATGTCGTGGGCGAATCTCTTTTAGCTCATCCTGTACTACTTGCTGGTGAGAATGCAACACCCAGGTTGCGAGTGATGTGGAGTAGTTAGTAGTTATAGCTCAATTCAGACAAATATTTCGTAATGGATATGAGATTCTTATTTCTTACTATCAGGGAGTCACTAGTGTTAATCGCCCCTCTCTACCCTTTTTACATATCAATTAAAGAAAAGTTGAAATAGAATTGAGTTGGAGCATGTAGCAAGAACACCGAATGATATTGAGCACGAACTCTGTAAAATTTAGTTCAAGCAGCTCACAAATCTAATTGAGTTTTATTACATTCACGATTTATGCTTTAAATACTATAACGATAAATTTGCACATGAATTTCTACTCTTCGTTTAGTTCGAATAAAAAATCAACCTTCTAAGTTGAGTTGAGCTCAAGATTAAGCATATGATACTATAGCCCTATACTTGAGCTTGAGATGGGGCAACTAATTTGAATTCAATTTCAATCTAAACGTTAAGTCTCCTATTTGTAAGTTGTGCTGAGCCCAAACGCACAATGCACCTCTACCTTAGGCCCTCAATTCCTTTTCTCGTGCCGCTAGAATGCCGTGGCTTCATTCCCGATAATTATAATAATACGGACACTGAAAAGGTCCGACAAGATAACGATGCATGATAACTTATGACCTAGCGAAATGAATTACCGTAATTAGATTAATGCCAAATGCCATTGGCTTTACTAGAGATGCTTATTGAGTAACTTTATGAGCTAGTCAACATAATCAGTACAAACACACATATAAAATTATGCATATATGCGAAAAAAAAGGGTGAAGGCCATAATGGAATCCGCTTTAGCTGGAAAGCGAACAAACCGGGAAGGACAAATTGCACGGCATTATACGAGGAAAGCAAAGGACAACTTTTGCTTGTTTTTTCACTTCGAGACGGTTCTTTTTCTAAGGAAAAATGGGTGAATTTGCAGCAATTCGCAGTACTCCAAAGCGAAGTGCCAAGAAGAATAATGCTTTAACGTT